AATGTTTTTTTGGAAAATCCTAATGAAATAATTGTGCCATGTCATCAGATTCAGTGGGGGAATACTCTTGTGGAGGGAAAGCAACTGCCTGCAGCCAGCCAAAGTCAACACTCCCCTGTGCAGCAACAAGCAGTCTGGCCTGATGGGCTCAGCACAAGTGAACCCAAACCCCTGAAAATAATTCCTTCCCTGCCCCAAAATTAAAAGCAGAGCAGAACTTTCAGCCGTAGGCGTCTGTGGTTTCCAGCTATGTGGTGCTGGGAACTCCGGAGACTTCCTCAAGGAATTTACATTCCTTTGAAGAAATACTATGAGGCTGTTTGTCTTTGCTGAGAAATGCAGATGGAAAAAAAAAAAAAAAAAGAAAAAAGAGCATTAAAAAACAGTGATTGAAATCTTTGGGGTCTAAGCAAATGTGCTGGACAGGTGTTTTCTTCCTTTTGATTTAAATGCATCTCCAAAAAAAGAGAGAGATTCTGGTCTCTGTGAGCAATGGGAAAGCTGATCGGTCCCTGCTCCGAAGCCTCCTCCTTTCATAAAAGCCTTCATGAAATTAGAGGCCTCAGAAGGCACTGGAGCAGTTTCCAGATGAACACGATCATTATTTCAGAGCTGCTGTGGAGCTCCTGGGCTAAAACCCAGGCTGCAGATCATCCAAGTCAGTGCAACTGAGGAGGGACCCAACCTGTGGCACCTCCCGGCAGCTGCTTCCCAGGGATTGGGTCTGGGGGGCCTGAGCATGAGGGGTCTCAGTGCCTGGGGAGCTGAGGAGCCTGCAGCCAGCTCTGCCCAGGGTGCTGCACGGACTGCTGGAAATTTTGCTGCTCTTGATTTACCAGCAAAAAAACCTTCCGCCCTGGCCTGGCTCGACACAAATTTTGTGCCCTTCCAGGCATTTGTTTCTGGCCTTGGCAGATGAAAGGGAGTTTGAGCAGGATCCACAGACCCGAGGATCTCCTGCAGCACCAATGACCAGAGCTGCAAACTCAGGGAAGTGTTTAACCAGAATTTCAGCTACTTCATCACTCAGATACTATCAGCAGCCACCACAGATGTACCCTGCCCTCTCAGAAAGCTCTTCCAAGCCTCCCAAACTGCACGGATCCATGCAACCCCCTTTTCCCCTGCCTGTACATCCCAGCATGTTTGTCCACATTATTTACTTTTTAACTGCCTGTGCACAGTATCTTATCAAGATCCTTCTTCTATAAAGGACTTTCCACAGGGCTGGGCGGGCTTGGCTTAATCAGCAACCAAACAATCGGCACATTGACACGGCCAGGGGGCCAGGGCCACAGGCAGGGGAATCCCGTGTTACTTGATAACGATGGAAAATTGGGAACTCCGGAGACTTCCTCAAGGAATTTACATTCCTTTGAAGAAATACTATGAGGCTGTTTGTCTTTGCTGAGAAATGCAGATGGAAAAAAAAAAAAAAAGCAAAAAAAAGAAAAGCATTAAAAAATCGTGATTGAAATCTTTGGGGTCTAAGCAAATGTGCTGGACAGGTGTTTTCTTCCTTTTGATTTAAATGCATCCCCAAAAAAGAGAGAGATTCTGGTCTCTGTGAGCAATGGGAAAGCTGATCGGTCCCTGCTCCGAAGCCTCCTCCTTTCATAAAAGCCTTCATGAAATTAGAGGCCTCAGAAGGCACTGGAGCAGTTTCCAGATGAACACGATCATTATTTCAGAGCTGCTGTGGAGCTCCTGGGCTAAAACCCAGGCTGCAGATCATCCAAGTCAGTGCAACTGAGGAGGGACCCAACCTGTGGCACCTCCCGGCAGCTGCTTCCCAGGGATTGGGTCTGGGGGGCCTGAGCATGAGGGGTCTCAGTGCCTGGGGAGCTGAGGAGCCTGCAGCCAGCTCTGCCCAGGGTGCTGCACGGACTGCTGGAAATTTTGCTGCTCTTGATTTACCAGCAAAAAAACCTTCCGCCCTGGCCTGGCTCGACACAAATTTTGTGCCCTTCCAGGCATTTGTTTCTGGCCTTGGCAGATGAAAGGGAGTTTGAGCAGGATCCACAGACCCGAGGATCTCCTGCAGCACCAATGACCAGGGCTGCAAACTCAGGGAAGTGTTTAACCAGAATTTCAGCTACTTCATCACTCAGATACTATCAGCAGCCACCACAGATGTACCCTGCCCTCTCAGAAAGCTCTTCCAAGCCTCCCAAACTGCACGGATCCATGCAACCCCCTTTTCCCCTGCCTGTACATCCCAGCATGTTTGTCCACATTATTTACTTTTTAACTGCCTGTGCACAGTATCTTATCAAGATCCTTCTTCTATAAAGGACTTTCCACAGGGCTGGGCGGGCTTGGCTTAATCAGCAACCAAACAATCGGCACATTGACACGGCCAGGGGGCCAGGGCCACAGGCAGGGGAATCCCGTGTTACTTGATAACGATGGAAAATGACTTCCAAATGATGGGAAATGCCTGGCTGCTTCCTGCCGAGCCGCCAGGCACTGCAGTCCTGCTCACAGCAACACTTCCAGGGGGAGGGATTGACCCCGGAGGAAGGGATGGACAAAGCTGAGTTTGATGGGTTGTACAGCCCTGCTGCTGCCTTCACCAACTGCCACCGAGTGAGGCTTTCCCAGGGCCTGGGAAGCTCCATGTGCTGCAACGGGGCTCAAACAAAGGCTGATTTTCCTCCCTGCCATGGGATCATGAAAGCCCTGTGGGCTCCCTGTGTCCTGCCTGAACAGGAGGGCACTGCCACTTCCCACAGCCTGAGCACTGGTCCTGGTGACCCCCGCCAGTCCCAGATGTCCTCTCAAGGGTGAGGCCGGCAACATACTTGAGCCACAAGATCCCACCTGGATTCCAGCTCGGGACCAGTGGAGCTGCTCTGGCTGGGAGGAGGGAAGGAGCACAGGCTTTAACACAGATTTGGGGTGACTGCAGCACTTGCTAGTGTAACCAGCCCCACCAGAGCAGGCGTGCAGAGGAATGGCCTTCTGCCAAGACCTTTCTGACATGGCCCAAGAACAAACGTTCCCCTCATTCTCCTAAGGGCAGCAGAGCCATGGCCTGATGCTGCCCAACAGCATCCATGTCTGCAACCCAACCAGCTGCTGCCAAGGCAAAGCTTGGGGAGACTTGGACACGGGTCACTGGGATGCTCCAACTCACAGCTGTAAATCTGGTGGAAGAAATAAACACGGGTGGTGCAGGCTGCTCCTGCCCAAGGGTGGAGGGGCAGGACCTGTAGGAGGAGAGCAAATGAGTCATTAATTCTCCAAGCAAAAGAAACTCCTCCAACATCACGCCTCGTGTGGAAAAGAAGGCGCTACCTCTTAATTGCAGAGGAAGAATGAGGATCTCTCTGAAATCTCTGCAGCAGTTCATGTCTTCAGAAATGATCTGATTATTTAGGGGCACAAGGTCAGCTCTGCTGAGCCGTCCGCGGGGAGCTGCTGTGAATGCAGATGCTGCCTGTGGAGAGCTGCTCACTGGAGCAGGAGAAGATGGAAAGAGAGAGGCTGCAGGAGAGAGCAGGAGATGGCCAGCACTGAGCCCTGGGGCTGGTGTGTTTTGGGTGAGGTCCTCCTGGCCTGGGGGTTTGCTGCCTGGCAGCTGGACAGAAAACACCCAGCAGATGAACGTCGTAACTGTTTAATTCATTTTAGTGTCACACTCTGACCGACAGCCAGAACTACACCTGGGCCAAAAAATGTAAAAAGTGGCAATTTATACAGAAAACAAATCATCCTTTGTTCCCTAGAGATGCAAACCCCACACAGCTGACACACACATACAGACGTGCCAAATCTGATAAACACCCAAGAGCCAAGGTGACAAAAACCTTCTACCCAAAATAGAAAGATGCAGACTTACTCTCTAAAAGTGGAACTCCCAACACCCCGACCTGTAGCATCCTTCAAAGGCTGAAACTAAAAAAAAACCCTGCATTTTTCTTTTTTATTTCCTCTTATCTCCAGAAGGAAATGCAGAGAATGAATCTGGGAAAGCCTTTGGGGAAAGACAAGCAATGATAACTTGAACATCATCTTCAGCTACTCATAATTTAGTTACAGAGCCATTCATTGACACAGTGAAGAAAAATTAATCTAAAATAAATTATTCATCCCTCTATGGGAATAATTAATCTCTGCAAACCCATGTTCCCTCCTCCCTGGCTACTGCATTTGATCAGGTATGAACCATCCTGCACGTGCTCCTTGGGATAATCACTCCTTGGGGAACAGCTGTTCCTGACACACTTTCAGCCACTGCTCCATCTTTTGTCATCCGAGGTGAAATCAGGAGAGGAAATAAATGGAGCAGCAGCAGACTCGGGAAGATTTATAAAACTGGAGTGATGGGAAACTGCCATCCCTCCCCATGGGTGTTGTTACTGTGACAGACATCACCACTACAGCTCTCAGGATGCTGGGGCCCTCCCAGATGTGCAGCAGTGAGTACTATCAGCCCAAGTGAGCACAGCCCCTGATAAATATGGTCCTAAGGCCTGAACCTGACCTGGTGGGGAGCAGAACCCTCTCAAGAAGGCGTATGACAGTGCAATAGCTCCTCACCTGCCAAACTGGTACAGGATTTCTTCCTGCACATGCAGGTGAAGCTTGAGTTCAAGTAAAGCAGGCACAACTGGTCAATCTGCCCCTAAACATGTTTGTGGTTGGCCATATGCCTTCAAACTTCCCTAAAAAGGGTACACAGAAGTTTGGGAACAAGTCCAGTGTTGTTAATGAGGAGGTGATGTCTCCCTGCACTGAGACTCCTCAGGAAAACTCACACAACCGTCAGGGCACGGATGTCACCAACCCCAACTCTGCTCCACACTGGCTTTGTGGATGAGTTCTTGGAATTATTTACCTCTGGTTCTCCTCCCCTCTGCACTGGTGCAACCTAAAGTTTGGAGGAAGAGGTGGAGAGGAAGGCCCTCAAGGTCTGAGGCTGGTGTAAATGTCTCGTCCCAGGCTCCTCGTTAAAGCCAACGCTTCCAGCATCTCTCCTTGCAGGGCAGAGAAGGTGCCAAAGGGGAACACCCCTGCTGGGGACACGCAGGCTGGCAGGAGAACCAGGGGCTGGTGCTTTTTGACACTTGCTCCATGAAGGGCCCTTTGTGGAGAAAGGGCGAGGGACAGCATGGGAACTCCCCTCGGGGACAGCAGGCAAGTCCAGCAGGGGCCAGAGAAATAACAAGCAGCTGGAGAGGGGCTCTGCAGATGTCTGGTTTGGCCTTTAAGCTGTAGCAGTGACTGAGGCTGCTGGCTCATTGGCAGGAGGTTTGCCAAGGTGCAGAGGCATTCACTCAGCCCTTTCCTCCTGTTCTGGAAAGGATCTGCCTTGCTGTTTTACTGGTGGTTTGTGCATGCCTGTCCTGGGGGAAACCTGCTTTGGGATTCTCTCTTGGGCATCTCATTAATCCACTGGAGCTGGAGATGCGTGGATCCCAGCTGTTAACGGGCTTTTTTGGTGGTGGTTTGGGGTTGGTTCCTGCCCCCTGCAATAAACAATGAAACAGAGGAACAGCTCTGCAACAAGGAGGGAGCAGTAACACCCGACTCACAGACAAAATCCTCAGTGCTGCAGCAGAAGCTCAGCCAGGCTGAAGCCTGGGACACCCAGGACAAACACTCTCTCAATCCACCTAAACCATTTTTATAGCTGCTGACTTCCAAATACCTCCATTTTCTCCAACCCA